TTCCTTCTCGGCCGCCTCCAGGAGCGGCCCCGGCAGGGTGCGGGCCTGGGGGCAAGCAGGAGCGAAGGGAATGTGTTCTTGGTCTGTAAACTGCAGGTGCCACTATTGAACTTTGAGCAGATAAAAATGGCTTAGGACTAGCAGCCGAGGAACTCTGGCCAAATGAAGGCTATTTTCCAGCGAGGTTATTCATCCTTTTGGTCATAAAGAACTATAAGGAAAAAAACACACCCTTGCCAAAGGGTTTAATAGTGCCCTAATCCGAGTATTTTACTCTCGTTGCTTTGTTTCGTGTGTTAATCTTTGAGATCAAATATAAAATAAAATGCAATAATGCATAGTGTTGAATTCGGAGATGTATGTAGTAGCCGTGTTGTTCTGAGATGCAAAGAAATGCAAAAGTCTAGAACTCTTGGTTCCAAAATGATCCCTTTTATTAGACCAACAGAGACATTGCAAAAACATACACTTGCAATTTCTCAATTGGTCTAATAAAAGGGATCATTTTGGAACCAAGAGTTCTAGACTTTAGCATTTTGTGTTGAATTCAACACTTTTTTTCTTTTTAAAAGAATGAAATTGTTCATAAACATGCAAATGCATGTTTGCAGTTGGCTATTTGGGATTTATCTTTGAAAAAGACCACAGCTGATAATAAATAATCTCTAATGCCATGATCCTGTAAAGATTTACCTTAAATTTTCAAATAATCTTACTGTCAGTGCTCTTGTGCATCCATGGCAAAGATGAAAGAGAGCGCTTGTCATTTAAAGCAGTGTTTCTCAACCTGTGGCTCATGACCCAAAAGTGGGTCACAACAGTATATGAAAGGGTTGTGAACAAACTTTAAAAATGGATCAACAAACTTTAAAAATGAATGAAGAATGAAAAAAAAATTGGAAAGAGTGGCATTTCCCTTGCAGGGGTCAGAGCCCCAGCCTGCAAGGGGCTGCTTGAGGCTCCCCATGCCGCACACGCTGGGGCTTGGAGGTGGGGGCCAGCAGGTTGGGACTGGCCACTAATCTTTACAAATGGGTCATGGTACAAAAGAGCTAAAAGGGTACTGCTAAGCTAAAAAGGTCTGTGCCTAGAGTTGGTTCCCTTGACTTCAGGAAGTTACAGTTATGCTTGTTTAAATATCCTGATATCTGCATAAGAACGTTCCTCTGTGTACCTCCAAAAAATTAAAACATAGAGGCTATATTCTGGGCCTGCACATACACGTTTTCATTGTAGCACTTATGTATATAAAGCTTCAAATATTTAAAGGTAAATGCTCACAATTTAAAAGAAGAAAACTGGGAGGGATAAGAAAGAGGAGCTATTTGTCTAGGCCTAAAAAAAAGTGGGGGGAAAGACTGAGGTGCTTGAGAGGACCTGGTCATGAAATAGACCCAGGGAAAATAAATAGCTGCTGAAACACTGTCTGCTCTGCTTAAATCTTTATACGCCCAGCAGAGAAATCTTAAATGAGGGCCAAGCTTGCTTTCTGTGGTAGTTGGATCTTTTCAGACTGCTAGTACAATCATATTTTGTACTGAAAGCACAGGTTTTTGGCTGAGTGTCCTGATGGCAATGGGCTAATGCTTAGAGAGTTATACTTAGGGATGTACTTAAATCTTGGAGCCTGGGGCCAAATGTCATGGGCTCCCCACAGCCCTGGGCAGATCATAGCTACCCTGCCCCCCATGTATCTGATTGGCTGCATGGGTTGCCACTGCTCCATATTCAGCTCTGGCCTGCACAGTGGGGACAAATAAGCCCCCAGCCCCATGCAGGCATGGGGATGGGTGGCTGCTGCCCCCCAGCTGGGCCACACTGCACCCCTCCCCCCCCCAGCCTTCCCCAACCTTGCGTTGGGATGGGCTGCTGCTGCAGGACCAGGCTCCCCACCTTCAGCTGAGCCCCACTCCCTCCACCAACATGGCCTGGCCATGCTGCTCTCCTCCCTTTCCTGGCCCCACACATGTATAGGGATGGGCCACTGCTGTCCCCCAGCTGGGCTCTGCTGCCCCCTCCGTCCCTGGCTGCGCCATGCTCCCTACCCCTGCCCTAGTCCGGTTCTGCTCCCCTCACCCTCCACAGCACCCACTTCCCACGATATGTGCCCAGCTGGTCCATGCAGCTGTGGCTGCCGATGGGGGAAGGGGGGGAAGAAAAAAGCAGGGCTGGGCCTGTCCCTGTCTGCCCAGGCTGCAGGGCTGAGAGGCTGCATGACGGCAACCCTCTTGCCCAATCGGCAGCCGGGGGAAGGAAAGCAAGCATCCTGGCTGCTGCCCAGAGTGGGAAAATAAAAACCTTTTATTTTTACATGGAGCCCCAGTTTTCCCCACTTCTTGGATGGATACTTTTTTCTCAGATTTCTCTGATTTTACTGCTGTGCACCGCTCGTCTGGTAGCTGCTGGTCCAGCAGCCCATGCGGTGCTCGCCCTCTTGTCTGGTGGCTCCCACCACTTGTCAGGGAGGGCATGGGGAGGGTGTGCCCCCACATCTGCGCGGGCAGGCTGCACCAAGCTCTTCCCAGTGGGGTAGGTAGCGGCGGCACTGGGAGGGGACTGTGGGGGATTTTGGGGTGGCTTCAGCCCCCCAACCCCTGCAGGAACCCACTCCCAGTGCCACTGCTTCTCACCCTGCTGGGAAAAGCTTGGCCCAGCCCCAGCCCACCTTGCGCAGATTTTGGGACATGCCTCCCCCATGCTCTCCTGGATGAGTAGTGGGAGCAGCAGTGGGGGCATCCAGACGAGCCACTGGACTAGTGGCTCCCAGATGAGTGGTGTGCAGCAGCAGGAGCTGCCCCCCCCCCCC